TTTTTTTTTTTTTTTTTTTTTTGCCAATGTTTTCAGTTTTTACTTTGCCAGCAGTGGGCATCGCATAGGAAAAGAGGTTTCATGGTGTAAACAGATTTTTCTATGTGTTCAATGAATTAGCTTCACTGGCTCTTAGGCAAAACAGACTGGCTGGATGGAATTAATTTTAGCAAGCTTTTGTGTTTTGCCCAGGGTCTTGTACAATTCAAATGAATCAATCCTATACCAAAAAAAAAAAAAAAAAAAAAAAAAAAAAAAATATTGTAATGTTTAGGGGCTTCCCTGGTGGTGCAGTGGTTAGGAATCCACCTGCCCGTGCAAGGGACACGGGTTCAATCCCTGGTCCTGGAAGATCCCACATGTCGCGGAGCAGCTAAGCCCGTGTGCCACAACTGCTGAGCCCGCGCTCTGCAGCAAGAGTAGCCACTGCAATGAAGAGTAGCCCCTGCTCACCGCAACTAGAGAAAGCCCGCACACAGCAACGAAGACCCAACGTAGCCAAAAATAAATAAATAAATTTAAAAAAATTGTAATGTTTAAGGGAACTTGGCATACTAGAAATTCAAATAAAAAATGTGTGATTGAGTAATTGACTTGAGATTTGTGATTTTAATTGGAAAGGTATGAGACTACATTAGAATACTTTAAGAAGTTTTAAAACTCACTTTGTGATTATAATTTTTTAGATTTAGAAGAATTGTTTACATACTTTGGAAAGTTTTAAAATACTAAAAAAAATAATACATCATGTTAAATTGATAGCATACTAAATTTGAAGAAACTTGCCTAACATAAATGGGACTGAGCTTTTGAAGGGAATTTAGTCCATTCAACTGGAATTCAACTCAATATTAACAGAAAAAGTGAAGATGATTCTAAAATTTTATTTAGTTAGATTCATAAATAAAACAAACAAATTTTCTAAGTCAGTCTTAAAGACTCAAGGAAAACTGGATAAAAATGCACTTATTATATAAGTTGAATATTAGTTTTTAAAATGCAATTGTGAAAAATAGCATCCCCTGTCCATAAAAATCATACGTGGACATTAAAAAACTCACATTGGCAAAATATATTTAATTTTCAGTCAAATTCTCTAAGCATAATATGTTACCTCCTTTATCCCTGGCGCTTAGTTATGCTGTGGTCTCCTCTTCATAAGTTTTAAGATAGAATGATATTCTTGGTGCTGGTGATGATTTAACCCAATGACCTTCACTGCAAATGACTCGAGAACAAAATGATGAAAGGGCAATGAGTCCAGGAGCCAGACAGAGCAAGAGAGGTTTTGCAAAGAGAATGAAAAGCATATTATGTTTTTAATATTTTCTTTTAAATATATAAAAATACTTTTGTTTTAGAGACTGAGTTTTCCAGCAGATGTTTCTTGATTGCGTGCTCACCTGCCAGGTTCACTCTGATATTCCTGGAACAGAAAACAATTTAAGGGATATTCAATACTCAAGTGACTTAGAGCTTAAAACCTTTCTCTTCTCAAATAAGAAGTCTAGAGGTTAAGGTCGAATTCTGTCATGTTCCCAAACAAAGAAAAAAATTAAGAAGGGGCCACCACCTATGCTTTAATATTGGCACAATTAACAAGCCACAACACTTAAAGGGAAAAGAGAGGCAAAGGCTAGCTTGTCTTTTCTGATATATTATGCGTCAATATAATGTGGTGATTTTCAACATTTAAAAAATGGACTTTCCTGGTGGCACAGTGGTTAAGACTGTGCTCCCAATCCAGGGGGCCCGGGTTTGATCTCTGGCCCGGGAACTAGATCCCACATGCATGCCGCAACTAAGGAGCCCACGTGCCTCAACTAAGAAGCCGGCAAGCTGCAACTAAGCAGCCCGCTTGCCGCAACTAAGACCCGATGCTACTAACTAAATAAATAAATATTAAAAATAATAAAATAAAAAATGAAAAGAGGATATGAGTTTTTAGGAAAAGAAGTTAAGGGAATATTACTAATTATGCAAAATCTATTAACCCTCTTAAAGAAACACCTGAGTGGAAAGTTAATCCGAAATGGAAAGCCTCTCTATACTTTCCTCTAAATAATTTTGTTTAGAAATAACAGAAGTTAACTGTTTTGAGGATTAAATATTTGCCAGGCATTTTACAGCTATTACCTCATTCAATCCTCACTATACTATTAGGCTTTCATTCATTCATTTATTACGTGTCCACCTGGCTGGGTATGTGGCTAAGCGCTGAGAATCCACTAGTGAGCATTATCGGCCTATGTCAAGATCAAGAGGTTAAGTAATTATACTATACTCTTCACAGGAGGAAAGGGAGGGTAGGCTCTGAGAGGTTAATTTACTTGCCTTAGGTCACAGTGCTGAAGCAGTTACAAACTCATTACAAATCTTTGCCCTCAGTCATTAAGCTGTCAACAGACTTCAAGATTTTCTCCCTCAAATAAAAAAAATAAAAGATTTTCTCCCTCAAAATTTGTTGCTTGTAAGTTATCTTTCCAAATTTTTTCAAGCATTTTTATCTTAGAGTTAAAAGTCTTATAGTCAATGACCTCTCTGCCCTCCGCTCTTTTTCACCATGTAGACCAAAGAACAAGCGGTGAATGTACACTCTAACTGCCAGGCATCTGGGAGACTTCAGGGGCGAGAAGCCAAGTTCCAGGGGGATGGGGGACATTTTTGAAGAAACAATAGCAACCCCGACACAAGGCCAGACTATAAATTCGAGGGTCACAAAGCTGGTCCACTGCCAAGAGGAGCAGTGTTTTTTCACCTTCACTTTGCCTTTTTCCACTACTTCCAAGGCTGTTTTGAAGCTCGACAGTCGCCGCAGTGCCTAGTCCACTGGCTCCACAAGGCCGAGAAATCTAATTTTTTATTCTACACCCTTAGCCCCCTACGCCTGTACGTCTCTTTTCGACTTCTCTCTCACATGCTTTTCACTCCATCTTCACCCCGGCGGATAATCTAAACATGAGCGTTTTCGTTTTATTCTATCGCCATATGGACTAGGTTGCTTTATGGCGACCTTGACAGACATCTAGATAGGAGGCTCGCGGGAGGTGGGGGAAACCCATCAGCGCTGAGGGAGAAACCTTCTGATAGTCGTTGGGAGGCGCCACGAGGGGGCGGTGACCACCATGCTCCACTCAACGGTGAGTTTTCTAGAAAATTGACAGGAAACGTACCAACCGTCTTTGCGCTAGCAACTTGCGCGATCTCGCGAGATGTGGACGCCAATCTGGAGGGGGGAGTCAAAAGCGCCTCTCTGAGTGGGGGATGGGAATATCCTTGGCGCAATCATTGCGCGAGATTAGGCCACGGTCGCTGGGCCCTATGCCTAGATCTCGCGATATTTCCGCTGCTCCGGACTGAGACTAAGAGCAGCTTCTCGCGAGAGCCCGTGCTGAGGGCTCTGTGAGGCCCCGTGTGTTTGTGTGTGTGTATCTCTGTTGGTGAATGTTAGTACGGGGAAGCCGCGGCCGCCATTTCAGAGAGCTTGCCGACGCTGTCGCAGGGGTGGATCCTCCGCTGCCGAAGCCGCCTTCCTGAACTCCCGCGCGGGCTCCTCTAATCCCATTGTTTCTTTTAGATTCTCTTGGGCCTATCCGCCCTCGGAGCCCGAAATTTGGGCTGGGTGGTACTGCGGCCTGGGCCTAGCGGCTTAACAGTAGCAACAGCGGCGGCAGTAGCAACCCCCCCTTTTTCCGAATACGAGCACCGCTGGGGCCCCGGAAGCCCGCACAGGTAAGGAGGCGTCGCGGACCCCCGTATTTGCAGGGCTTTTCTGAGGTGTGGTTCTTCTCTGGGTTGAGGGGCACTCCTTAGGCCGTCTTAAGCGACGGTGGGGGGGCAGGTTTTCGAGAAATGGGCTTAATTTCGAAGACCGCGCCCTTCTTTTTCGGTTGGGTAAATTTCAGGGTTTTCAGGTGGCATGGGCTCCAGAGAGGCCTCGGGCAGATGGCGACCTGTCCTTTCGAGGCCTGCGACGACCGCGACCTCCCAACATGGCGCCAGCCGAGCGCTGTCTTGGCACCGAACTCCTCCCAACCGAGGGAGTTTCCCTTTGCCCCTAAAATGGCAGCGCGGGTTTTTGCGGCGAAAGAGGAGCTTTCGTTCGATGCTCTCGGGTTGTTTTTTGAGGCATTACAGGCTTTTTAAAAATCGGATACTTAATCTGCTTTAGCGTGTTCGCTTTTGGGGACATTTCAGGTTTAATTGTCAAACCTACTAAAGTGCGTCGTCCCACCTTAGTCGTTTTGTGGGGCGTCTCGGAAGTTTTGGAATATGTCCGGTAAGAAGGAAATTTAGCAAAATTTAAAATTGTTTACTCATTGAATTTTTCATTCTTATTCTTCACTTAGGCGTTCAGAGAAAATGGCAGACGATATTGATATTGAAGCAATGCTTGAGGCTCCTTACAAGAAGGTGAGAAAAAACAAGTCGGTGAGGTCTATCTATTTCTTAATTTAGCATTATTCACGAAACTACTGCTGAAATGTAAACTAACCTCCCCGGAGCCCTCTTGATTTATCTTATCAGAGATGCATTAAGTGTAACTTACAAAAGTAAATATATGCTATTGATGTAATAATATTGTGCAGTAGTTTCACTTCAGCGTGATGAATAAATGCCCATCTATCTCTCTTTGTAGACTTGCCTAACGATATCTCACCTCTACTCCCATGAATTCACCTTTGATTCCAGTGTGAACTGTCAATCATAAGGTAGTAATTGAGTGACTTATCGCTGTACCGTGGTCCCCTAGGTAAAATGACTCAACTAAGAATTACCAGCTCCAGTTTGGTATAGCAAAAAGGTGAATGTAGTGGTTTGGGAAAGCAGCAGGGGTCCAAGAATAACACAGCATAACCAGTCTGTGGCAAGTAAATCTTTAAATAAGACAAGCCTTACAAGAAGAAATGGGTGAGATTTAAAAATTTATCCTATACATAAGACTGGTAATAGTCAATATTAAAACAGGCAGGTGATGATCTGCTCAGTTAAAAATTACTAAAATTCTTGGATCCCTGAATAAAAGAAAATTCTTAAAGCGAAAGAGGCAATATCACAACTTGAGTCACTTGATGACTGTTTAACTGTTCTCCATATTGTTTTATTTTTAATTAGTCCCTGTCATAATATTTCACACATAAAACTACAAAGGAGTTATTTTGACTAATAATACAGTCTTTGACCCATTTCAGTATCACAGTAAAAGTGTCTTTTCATTCTTTCACCAGTTGGTGGTGAAAATAGCAGTATGCATGCGTTATCACTGATGTCACAAACTGTAAGCTTTGTAAGTTAGCACTTATACTCCTATAACTGATGTAATCAAACTTTAAAATAAACATTGCGCTAAACCTTTTAAAAATAATACATTTGTTTTGGAGTGTATAGCTCGACCATGTGGTACCAATTTGGATGAATTCTTTAAAGCTTTGAATAGTGTATGTAGTTTTGTAATGCTTAGACTCTTGAAGCGCTACTTTCTATTTTAATGTTAAAATTTTGTCTTAGTTTAACATGGATGTAATTCCATGTAAACAGGTATGGAAGTAGGACTGGTCGATTATTAATTGACTTTCTTGGGTTCTTGGGAGTCAACATTACTAAAGCAGTGTGAATCCCTGTTTGCTTCAGGGCGAGATGTGTGACAGAGGTGGCATCAAGCTCTTACAGTCCCAACCCTCCAACGGAAATGGGCGAAGATCTCAGGAATGGCATCGGTCACAGGAAATCGATAGTGGCTGGCTGCTAGCATGGCCACATGGGGCTTAGGCAGAAATAGAGCCATGGTACTGACCAAAGGGGCCATAGCACATGGAATAAAACTCAAAACAGGACTTCATTCATGTTTTATAGAAATTCTATTTAACCACTTCAACACTGTAAATCTGGATAACTTACTATCTAACTATGTAAGAAAATAAAATTTGACGTGTTAATATGCATTTTTATTTTTGTATCTTGATGACTTAATTTGTAAGCAACAAAGTGGTTAAACACATATCCATCTAAATTTTTTTATAGCCTTCCATGTTAAACTATAAATAAGTAATTAGTTTTAAAATTGTTTTGTATTTTCTTATTCCTATTCCCTTTACCCTTTGACAACTTGAAATGTTACCACTTCGTCCTCATGATGTTCTTCTATCAACCCTGCTTAGGATGAGAACAAGTTGAGCAGTGCCAACGGCCATGAAGAACGTAGCAAAAAGTAAGTTTTAAGAAGGGACCTGGGTTGGGGGGAGCTATATGTGATTGACTTTTTAAGTTGTATTCCTGTGGCTAAAGCATCAAACCCAAGGTTCTCTCCTGAAGGGTTTCTTTGCCTTTTTTAGAAAAGTAGGTTCTTTACTTTCGGGGATGAGACACTTTGAGGATGTAAAACTATGGACTCTTTACTTAATTTCAGGAATTGGTGTCAGGAACTTTTTGGACACCTTCCCCTCCAAGTCCATCCATGACAATCTGCATAAGAGTTCTAGTGTTAGAGCTTGTATTTTGTCTTAAATTTATTAATTTCAGCTTAATATTATTTTATCAATGTTATCAGTAAAAACTATTATATCCACTGAAGGTGGTTAGAAAGAAGAAGGTAATAACCAGGCTGTGGAGAAGTATTGTTTGTCCTAAATTACTGAAGGAGTCAGAGCTGTGAATTATTTATGCTCCTTGATGCTCCTAAAGGTTCTTTTTGTAGTGATGTTATAGCACACTTAAGTACTTCTTAATGTTCCTCTGACATGGCTTTTGTCCTCTTAAGCTTTTTAAACTCTGATAGACTTAATAGTGAGAATGGAGTTTCAAAAAACTATGAATATTTATGCGTGTCATTTAGGTTAAAGAAGTAACCCTTAATAGGAACTCTGATACAGACTAGTACAGAGTATAGTATACAAGAAGTCTAAATAGATGCGCTTTATAAAATTTGGCCCTGTTGGAGTTTTCCTTCAGCTCTAAAATCATTGAGTCTTAACATCACATGGTCTGTATTATAAGCATTAAGACATTTTACTAGCCTTCGTGATGTCATATTCAAACGTTCTGTCATGTTCGTGACCCCATAATACATAATGAAAAGTGATGTAGAATAAGCCACTTACTTGGTTCTTTCTGGTGCTTCCTTCTAAGAGCTCTAAGTGCTTCATAATATACTACCTCAGTATCCTCACAAGTTTGTAAGGTAGGTTAATATAATTTCATAAAATAGATGAGGACATAGACTGGATTGTCCAGGTTTTGCTACACCGATATTCTTACCCCTAGAATATTGTAGTAATGGATCAAAATGATGCAATTTGTAGGACGTGTCCTATTTTTTTTTGTTTGGGTGGGAGTCTGTTATAGTTCCTCACTAATCATGTTAAGGGTATTGGGTTGGGTTTAGTCTTGAATTGTTATAATTTGAGGCAGTCAGCCAATCTTTGTGTGGTATAATGTTCTCTGCTTTTAGACCTTTTACCAAAGTAAGTTTCCTAATTAATCGTTGTCATTTGCAATTCTGTAATCAAAAGAAAACCCAGGAAGGGGTAACCATATAAATTGAAATTATCCAATCTCTAGATATCAGGCCAAGTGGATGGATAAAGATCTCACTCTTAAGTGCCAAAAGAATGAGGACCTACACTGTAGGGCACATGCCTACTTTGTTGTACCATTCTTACATGTCATTTCTTGCTACTAATACCATCTCCAGTTTATATTTGTTAATCATCCTACAACTAAGCTCATTAAGACTACCAGTCTTTGACAAGGAAATTTAGCATTAAGCTCTCAATGACTGGTGCATACTTAGTGGTGTTTATATATATAATGTAAAGAGTCCAATGGGACTAAATAGAAGAACGGACAATTTAATTGCCCATAGGATTTTTTGTTTAAGAGAAGAACCTTTTCAAAACTACAGCTATCATCTAGTTTCTTTTTAAATGTACATATTATTTCTCTGTCAGACTTCTCATTCTCCTCATTCTCAGTTAAAGCTGATTAAATAAATGACTCCCTTGGTCAGTCAGTAACTGTTCACCCATTTTTTTTCTGAAGGGAATTAATCTTTCAAATTAATTTGAAAGTTATCTAGAAAAAAATTTTTGTATTTAGGCATAAATTATAAAACAAGCAGAATGTTCTTACATATTAGTTTTTAGTATAAATTAGGTCTCTTAACCAAAGGAACGTGCCATGTGCATTTTTCATCCTAAAACTTCATTGTTTTTTAAAAGCCATTGAGTATTGGGATGTAGTTTTAAGGTAGTAAGAAAATGCACATTATGCGAAATTGAGAGTTGACTGACTAGTAAATGTTTTCTTTTAAAAAATAGTAATTCTCAGTACATACACTCAATTGATTTCAGGTAATAGTAAAAGGAACTAAGTTTAATATTAACGCAAATTGGTTGTCTATTAGCCTTCTTTCTGAAAAGCTATACCCCTGAGCTTGGCAAGACCTCAAAGTATGCCTTTTTAAGTACCTGAGCTTGCCTTCATGGGAGTATTATTTGTTAGTATAACCAGTTTTGCAAAGTCGCAACCAGCATCCATTCAGTTAAGCTCTTTTGGAATTTCTCAAAAACGGATAAAAAACAAATGACACAGCTGAAATATATTGGCTACTGTGGTGTGGATTATCTATAAATTTTGGAATAAATGACTTTTCTATTTTTTTTCTTATTTTCCAGAGTACTTTGCATTTAAAATTTAGATCTTCTTACATGGAAGAGGTCAAATCCAGTTATAGCAAAACACCTTTACAGCAGAGGCCATATAACCAAAAAGTCCAAAGGCCCAGCCCAGTGGACCATTTACTTCAATGATGTTCAGTACAAAATTCCACTGCCACTAAAGACTTTGGAAAGTCCCTTTTAAGTTGTAACAGGATTTGACTATTAGTGTGGATTTTGATAACCCTTCTTTAGTTAACTTAATAAATGTTCTTTGAAGCTTCATCTTGTTATAGAGAAGTACACTGCTTTCTTGCACCCTTAAATTTTTGTTTGGGCTTTATAAAGAGGATTATATTTCTGAATGTCTTAGTATGTTGCTGTCTTTTTACCTGTCTGGGGTTGCCTTCAGATGTGGGTGGGGACTCATTTATAAAAAGTCCTAGGAAGACCTTAAGTTGAAATTAGCTCTCCAATTTTCGAGTCCTTTCCTTTGGCGCAATAAATTTTGGGCCTAAAAAAGGTAATTTGGGAGGTTGGCTGCCTCTCTGCAACGGGCCATTATAAGCAGAGCAAAACTTTATTTGTCCTTTTTGCGGGGGATGGAGTTTTTACTTTGTCCCCTAATTGATAATATTTAGGATTTTTGATTATAGCTATCTCAGAATTCTTTAGTCTAAGAGATAGTTTCAGGTTTTTAGGCAACAAAGTTGGAATGTTATCTGTTGCCCTTCTGGGCATTGCTTTGATGACTTCTGTATAAGTAATGAGTGTAGCCTAATTTTCTGTCATGTGCTACCTAGCATATACATTTCTGACAGTCAGGTGGATTATCTTGAAATTTTAGACAAAGTTTCTGCCTCCTTGGAAAGCTCTACATCTCCTTGTGATTGGAGTGTGGGTTTCAAGATTCCAGAAGGTGGGTGTCTTCGTTTTCTATTTTCAATGCACTCTAAGATGACCTGCTTACAGGTTCTCTGAGGCAGACTTCAATTGCTCTTGTGCTAACTTTGCTTTGATAAGGACTAAACAGTTAATTCAATTTCCAAATGATGTAGTTGTCAAAATGTTTCATAATCTTTTAGCCAATACAAAATGACATTTAAGTGGATAAGTTTAATTTGAAATGTCTTTCAATTTATATTGAAATATCTGAAGGCACCTCTAAAATTTGGGTGATGACAGAGGTACAGATTATAAAAATTACGGAATGAGTGGGTGGTATGCTGTGAGGAATACAGAAATGAACAGGAAGATACACGACTGACTGGCTTTTTTACCTTTCAGAGCTTGAGAATTTATAAAGATTTATAAAGGTGTTGATTCTTCCTTTTGGTTGTAACCCACAGGCTTGTATAAACTGGCATAAAAATGGCATATTTCAATATCTGGTGTACTCATTGTAACTTGAAAGTATCTGAAGTGGTCACATTGAAGTCTGGGAGTGTCAAATTGCATTTTACGGCATTAGTTTTATTGTCCTTTGTCATTATTTGTAATAATTTTGCCCATAAAAACGGAAATAGTGATGCCTGTATGGCCCTTTGAAAGTATATAATATTCATATGTGCAAATTGGGTCAAAATTGGCTTACTTAAGAGAAATTAGTGTATTTCATGGCAACTTTTTTATATGATCCAACACTAATACTTAAAGTATTCTGTTGTAACTTTGATTCTATTACTGTGTGTTTTGGATTACAGTTATACTTAGTTGGCCAGATATGATAGAACTTTTAAATAAAGTTCACAGGACTTCCCTGGTACTCCAGTAGTTTGTGACTCTGTGCTGCCACTGCATGGGGCATGGGGTTCGATCCTTGGTCAGGGTAAGATATATCCTGCATGCTGTGCAGCATGGCCAAAAAAAAAAAATTTTAAAGTTCAGGTTTTGATTTATACCTACCAATAAGTTCTCTCCTTGTTAAAGCTCTAGCTGACTCTCAAGAAAGATCATTATAGTCCCTCTCACTAAATGATTCATTGTCAACTGGCTGCTGATTTTCAGTAGTAGAAGGCAAAGGTGGGGTGTTGTTTGCCTTACCTAGGAATTATTTTTCCATAAGTGATTATTATGTATCATTATATGATAGTAAAAATAGCAAAATATATCGGACCATAAGATGAAGTATATTTTTGCATATTCTTAAATCAGCAAGATAATGGTGACTTTTTTCTTCTCAGGAGGAAAAAAAGCAAGAGCAGAAGTCGTAGTCATGAACGAAAAAGAAGCAAAAGTAAGGAAAGGAAGCGAAGTAGAGATAGAGAAAGGAAAAAGAGCAAAAGCCGTGAAAGGAAGCGGAGTAGAAGCAAAGAAAGGAGACGGAGCCGTTCAAGAAGTCGAGATCGCAGATTCAGAGGCCGCTACAGAAGTCCTTAGTATGTAACTATAATTATGATGATATTGGTTTGAGAGATTTTTCTGGGTATCCAGATAGCAGTGTAACTGGAGTGACTTGAATTGTGGAATTTTATTTTTCAATATGATCAGTTAAAAAGTATTAAATAAGGATTTTGGAATTGAAAAGTCCAGTAGAAATGCAGTGTGTGGACAGATACATGTTTGTTTTACTAGGCATGCAGAACATTTTCTGTTACTCCATCTAAAAATATTACTGTGTGCCAATTCAAACTAAAGCACTAAAGTGCTTTTAAAAAAAAAGATTTGATATTGTAGTGCCAAATACATGAGAGCTTAAAGGTTTGTGAGCTATCACAGTATCCTTTACTGAACATAAAGTTTATGAAGCTCAGATGGATACAAACTGCAAATATGTATAGTCAGTCAAATACATAGTTAACAGTCTTGTCTGTGTGGCTGTTTTCAGCTGAAATGACAGACCAGTTGTGAATTTAGTGCATGCTTCTTGATAATGATCACACATCTTTGTATTTAAGGTGTTTTAATAGTAAGAACTCACTAAAACTGCTTTTAAGGTTGAATCACTATGGAAATTCTGATGTGGTTAAACGTGTTGGAAATGTTTCATTAATAGTAATTTTTAAAAAGCTAAAATGTATTAATGACTTTGGAAAGAGCCTTCTTGCAACTCTTTAAGCAGTTCAGTCTAACAGTCCCTAGTGATTTATGATGTTCTTTCCTGTTAGTAAATACACTGTTGTAAACTGTGTGATACGTTAAAATTAACAGTTTTAACGTTGAAACTTGAATGGTTTAAGACTGAATTCAGAGACAACAGTCCTGAATCAGAGCCTTGGCTCTTTAAATTGGTTAAACACTCTAAGAAACATTCTTAAGCTTTAGTTTTCTCATCTTTAGAGAAGGAGGTAACCACTGACAGGCTATTGAGTCTTGAATGAGAAGAGAATGTAAATTAGAGCACCCATAATACTGTTATTGATGAAATGTTTTGTTATTATTTGAAGCCAATAAAGTTAGTAATACTTGGAGATGTGATTCACGTTTTTCAATAAAAAGGGTTCCACTCCTTGTTCTCTAAGGTCCTCTTAGCTGATTATTTTATAAACTTTTTAACAGCTTAAAAAGGACCACAATGTTATTTTACGTCTGAGTGCTTTATTAGAAAATACTTCACTTTTTGTCCAATTTATCAAAATTTACTGCATTCTTTTTTACCAGAATGAACTAAGTAGGGGGGAAGGATTGCTTTAATAAATTCTGAATATTATTATCTCTGATCAGTGATGAATACTTGAAGTCAGCCTGTGATTCTGGTCTAACTTAAACTCACTTGGTTCTTATGTTTGGTTTCAGGTGATTTTTAACTACCAAGGCAGTAACTGAAACTTTTATAATTGAAGGGGAAAGAAAATAGCTTATAGACTCTTATTTATCCAGTAAATATATATTCTTAATGATCACTTTTAGTGTGCTTTGCAAAGGACCCATTTAATACAATTTTATTTGGAACTGCTTGGGTGTTATACGTGCACGTAGAGTCCATGAAAACAAATCCAAATGTGGATTGAAGACCACCATATATTTTCATTTTGCTACCCATCTGGTAAAGGATAGCAGGATGAGCACTAAGGGACATCTGATCTGACCTTTTAACTTAGTTTGGTCTTTCAAAATAAAAGGGCCATAAACTACTGGGCTTTTTTAGAATATTCTAGACTACAGAATAAAGCTTTTTAAAAAGTTACTTTTGTGATCTTTTTCGAAAATACATCTTTAATATGTCAAGTCCCGAAAAAAGAATTTTCCTGAGGGATTGATGAACTTCCTTCACATCTTTACCATGGACTATTTTGTCGAAAAGAACCGAGGTGTGTGACATGCTACATATGCTTATATGCAGTCTTGGAGACTTACTGTTAAATGAAAAAGTTGGAGTTTCATGATTATGGAAAGAATTAGTTCCTTTATATTTTAAAAGAAACTCCTCAAGGGAATTCCCTGGTTAGGACTGCGCTTTCACTGCCTGGGGCCTGGGTTCAGTCCCTGGTTGAGGAACTAAGATCCCACAAGCCACGTGGTGTGGCCTGAAAAATAAAAAAAAAGAGTTCCTCAAACAAGAAGACATACATGAATATTGTATATGTGTGTATATATGAGCACATGTATATTCCTTAGGAAGGATCTGCAAAGATGCTCACCAAATTGTTAATTATAGTCCTGGTGTGAGGGAAGTTCAGGATAATTTTCACTTTGTGTCTTTTTTTTCCCCCCTAAATCTCAGGAACGTATTCATAAATATGTAGTTAAAGAGAACTAGACTGAAAATTGAGCATTTTCAGAATATTAAAAATCTTGAGGCTGTAACCTTTGGTCTTGGCACCTCTCAGTGGTCCAGGATGGATAACTGTAAGAGCAGTTTGCCTGGGATAGAGTTAAGAGAAGAAAAAGTCTCTTTATTTCCTCTTCATAATTGAGGTGGAAAACAAGCAGCCTAAACAATGTTAAACTTGCTGGAGAGCGCATGAACGCGATCTTAGCAAGACCCTAACCCTGTAACTAGTGTAATTTTGTGTTTCCTTTTTAGCTCCGGACCAAAATTTAACAGTGCCATCCGAGGAAAGATTGGGTTGCCTCATAGCATCAAATTAAGGTTTTTAAACATACTTCTGAATTGTTTAAATTGTTTTTCAAGGAACTAATGTGGTGTACTTGTTTGGGTAACTTTTGAAACTTCTTAACTTTGCAGCAGGCGACGCTCCCGAAGCAAAAGTCCATTCAGAAAAGACAAGAGCCCAGTGAGGTAACTGTTGTCCCTATTTCTTTTGTTTTGTACTTTTAGCTTTTATAAAGTTTTTACAACTTATGTTACTGCTAAATTTAATGACAAATAGTAATTTGGATCATATTAAATCTTGATTCGTTTTGCAATTCTAGTAGTATTAATTTTTAAAAGATTTATTTATTTTTGGCTGAGTTGGGTCTTCATTGCTGCACGCGGGCTTTCTCTAGTGGGGACAAGCGGGGGGCTACTCTTTGTTGTGGTGCATGGGCTTCTCATCATGGTGGCCTCTCGTTGCAGAGCACAGCCCCTAGGCGCGAGGGCTTCAGTAGCTGTGGCTCGCGGGCTCTAGAGCGCAGGCTCAGTAGTTGTGGCGTACGGGCTTAGTTGCTCCGTGGCATGTGGGATCTTCCTGGACCAGGGCTCGAACCCATGTCCCCTACATTGGCAGGCAGATTCTTAACCACTGCGCCACCAGGGAAGTCCAATTCTAGTATTATTAATGTGAATTTCTAAGTTTTCAATAACTTGCATGTGAGAAGAACAGAGCAGAAATTCCCACGTTAATGTGTAGATGTTACATGTGCTTTTATTTCTCTTTTATAGTAGCTAAAAAAAATTTTTTTAACATCTTTATTGGAGTATAATTGCTTTACAGTGGTGTGTTAGTTTCTGCTTTATAACAAAGTGAATCAGTTATACGTATACATACGTTCCCATATCTCTTCCCTCTTGTGTCTCCCTCCCTCCCACCCTCCCTATCCCACCCCTCTAGGTGGTTGCAAAGCACCGAGCTGATCTCCCTGTGCCATGCAGCTGCTTCCCACTAGCTAGCTATTTTACGTTTGGTAGTGTATATGTCCATGCCACTCTCTCACTTTGTCACAGCTTACTCTTGCCCCTCCCCATATCCTCAAGTCCATTCTCTAGTAGGTCTGTGTCTTTATTCCCATCTTACCCTTAGGTTCTTCATGACCTTTTTTGTTTTTTTCCTTAGATTCCATATGTATGTGTTAGCATACGGTATTTGTTTTTCTTTTTCTGACTGACTTCACTCTGTATGACAGACTCTAGGTCCATCCACCTCACTACAAATAACTCAATTTCATTTCTTTTTATGGCTGAGTATATTCTATTGTATATATGTGCCACATTTTCTTTATCCATTCATCCGATGATGGACACTTAGGTTGCTTCCATCTCCTGGCTATTGTAAATAGAGCTGCATTGAACATTGTGGTACATGACTCTCTTTGAATTATGGTTTTCTCAAGGTATATGCCCAGTAGTGCGATTGTTGGGTCGTATGGTAGTTACATTTGTAGTTTTTTAAGGAACCTCCATACTGTTTTTCATAGTGGCTGTATCAATTTACATTCCCACAAGCAGTGCAAGAGTGTTCCCTTTTCTCCACACCCTCTCCAGCATTTATTGTTTCTAGATTTTTTGATGATGGCCATTCTGACTGGTGTGAGGTGATATCTCATTGTAGTTTTGATTGGCATTTCTCTAATGATTAATGATGTTGAGCATTCTTTCATGTGTTGGCAGTGTGTCTAAAATTTTTTAATGCTAGCTGTAGAAAACTTTAGCCTTGACTCACCTTTGGAGTTAATAAATTTTAAGTTATTGAAATAACTTCTTGTGGGAAAGTAGTTGAAATAGTCATGAGTTTTATCATTTGGCTCCATTACTTGAGAAAAGTATTTAATTTCCAAAATCGTAACTGCGTTGACTTGATTTCAAGTAGTAATATTATGTTTTTGAGTGTTTCTGCGAGGTATTTTCCTCTTAAAGATAAGACTTACCTATCTAGTCTACCATTTTGGTTCAAGGAATGTTTTAACATGATAGCATTGTTTTTTACTGATGTTCTGGCTTCCCTTAAATAGGTACCTTTTAACTTTTGAGTCTATCTTCTTGTTTGACATATTCTAACCCTAGGATTTAGTGATAGCCTTAATGTTCTTAAAGGCGCTCTTTGTAACAGATACTGAGTTTTTGTTTAATATTTAGTTTTCTCTCATGGGAAAACTCCCGTTTAGTTCTCATTCTTTGGATATAGTCAGCTTTGTACCGCTGTTTTGCGGTAATAGGTTTAAAATTACTTGCAGATTTCTCAAGGGGATGTAATGTGAGTTTTATAAAGTTCTTCCGGAGAATGTCCAGAACATGGTTAAGAAAGAGCATGTTTATGCTTACATTTTTAAGAATTTACTTAGAACCTTAATCTTAGTAGAATTATTTATAATAATGTCAGTAGACAATGTTATTTTTCCTTGACATTCATTAAGTTAAATTTATCTATTTTGCTCTTTTACTTTTCTCACATATTTGGGCACTTTTAGTTTCCTCTGTAAATTTAGAAGTGTACACCATCTGTTTGTAAGCATGAGTAGATTAGATCCCACTATTGTTATTTGGCTAGATAATCTCTTGCTTTTCATTTTTGACTTGCTAATTGTTCCTGTCTCTATTCTGTAACCATCAAGTATTTTTTCGGGTATTGAATTTGTAGAGTCTTAGTAAGACTGATCTAATTCTGATAAACAGCTGCCTCAGTATTCCACGTATCTATCTCAGTTTGTGAAAAAAAATTATTAGAGTCAAATAGTTTTCATCATTTGGGGTTTTACTCTCAAGTTTGTCATTTGTGATTATGAAACTTAATTTTATTTTATGATTTCCTTTTGGGGAAACATCCTTTCTATTAATTTGGACCAGTCCAACGTTAGTGTGGACTCAGGGGTTATTACTTGTGACTATCATTAAACTCTCAGGCTTCCCTTTATTATTCTGGAGAGAGTACCATTTGTAAGATTGAGAGGCCAGTGGACTTTGGTCCTGATAATGTAAGATACTATCAGAAAAATTTAGAAATTATCATCATATTGAAGGCATTGAGTCACAGTGAATTATTTTATGGACATTTTATATACATCATAGTTAAAATGGGCTTGGGAGTAGTGACAAACTGGTTTCAGGAAAGTTTATTCTGTTTACTGAAAACGTGCATTAAAAGTTATTTTAAAAGAATAAGTTATAAAGTTAATTCTATATTCTTTACCCCTGTTAGGGAGCCTATTGATAATCTGACTCCTGAGGAAAGAGATGCAAGGACCGTTTTCTGCATGCAACTGGCAGCAAGAATTCGGCCAAGGGATTTGGAAGAGTTTTTCTCCACAGTAGGAAAGGTAATCTAAGCCTATTTACAGAGCTAATTTAAGTAGAAACTGCAAACAACATTTTAGTAATTGTCAGTGTGACAGATAAAATTAGAAAACATCTAAATATATTTTTTTGTTTGGTGGAATTTAGTTAGGGAATTTTTTTTTTTTTTAATATTTATAATTGGCTGCATCGGGTCTTAATTGCGGCATGCAAACTCTTAGTTGCGGCATGTGGGATCTAGTTCCCTGACCAGGGATCTAACCCGGCCCCCTGCATTGGGAGTGGAGAATCTTAGCCACTGGACGAAGTCCAGGGAATTTATTTTTGATACCATTTCTTTTTGCCTCACTTGGAAGTTAATAGTGTTGGAATTGATGTATGTTGATAAATGAATTGGGCCTACAAATTTACCTATTTAAAAAAATCTTTTTAATGGCTTGCTTTGCAGTATCATTAATATGCCTGTTGTCTTTTGAAATTATTATACTTACTGTGAATGGTTGCACAAACAGAACCTAAAGTGTGTGTTTTCTTTTTAGGTTCGAGATGTGAGGATGATTTCTGATAGAAATTCAAGACGTTCCAAAGGAATTGCTTATGTGGAATTTGTCGATGTTAGCTCAGTGCCTCTAGCAATAGGATTAACTGGCCAGCGGGTTTTAGGAGTGCCAATCATAGTACAGGCGTCACAGGTAACTTTTTTCTTGGTTAAGAATTTGATCATTGGTAGTGTTAGAAACCTGTTTCTTAGTGTTGTGTTGTAACTCCTTGAGCCTTACACAATCACCACTTCCTACCATAAGTCAGATGTTCTCAGGGTAGCTTTTGAAAAAAAAATTTGCCTTGATTTCTTTGATAATTGTGTATTCTTAATAACATCCTGTTCCATTTTAATGTAAGTTGTAAATACCTATTTCATGGGAAAGATTTGGGAACTTGTTCCAGAATTTTACTGATTTGTGATGACTTCTTATTTGGGGATAGAAGCATCTAAGAACATGTTTTCCCCTTCCGATCTTTTAAATGGAATGGTTTTGACATTTTTAGTAAATTTAATATTTTCACTGTTTTAAAATACATACTTGTGAAAGATTATATATAATGTTAAGAATAGTTTGAACAGCTAGCTATTCTGACATTTCTTGAAAGTAAAGATGTTTCAGACTAATTTGGAGAATGTTTTTTAAGATAATCCAAATTATGATTTAATTCCTCTGTGCTGATGCTCCACAATAAATGTTGCCTTTGTAAAAATGCAATTAGTGTGAATATTTTAGTTCATTTAGGTATGGAAACATTGGGATATATCATTCTATTCTATCATTCTATTCTAAATTTAACTTTTTTTTTGCGGTATGCGGGCCTCTCACTGTTGTGGCCTTTCCCGTTGTGGAGCACAGGCTCCAGACGCGCAGGCTCAGCGGCCATGGCTCATGGGCCCAGCCTCTCCGCGGCATGTGGGATCTTCCCAGACCGGGGCATGAACCCGCGTCCCCTGCATCGGCAGGTGGACTCAACCACTGCGCCACCAGGGAAGCCCCTTTATTGAGTATATTAACGTGAAAGTATTTTTTTGATTTTTTTCATCAGTACCTTTTTGTACTAAGAAACAAGTTGATTTCTGTGACTACCTGATAACTTAGGTTTTTAAAATGGATTAAAATAGGATTTAAAGAATTTATTTTTGGCCTTGCCGAGCGGCTTGTGGGATCTTAGTTCCCCCACGAGGGGTTGAACTGGGCCATGGCAGTGGCAAAAGCACCGAGTTCTAACCACTGGACTGCCAGGGAATGGAATTCCTGAGGATTTAAAGAATATTTTTTGAGCGATAACAAAATAACAATAGTTATGTTCGTTCCTTTTCAAACCCCTGAAACAAATACTCCTCATAACTCCTGAAAAATCTGGTTACTCATCAAGCTTTTACATCATTTTGTAGTTACTCACAAAATTTGTAACCAGATCTTAAGTGAAATTCCAGTTTCACTGTTAAGCTGTAACTGTGGTCAGATTACTACCTTCTATCTCTAAAAGATGATGGTAGGTCCTATTTAGTGTTTTAGCAGTATGCAATATTGGGTACTTATCATTTGATTATGTCACAGTAAGAAAAGAATTGTTAGGAAGCAGGCTGGGGGGAATCATTGCTCAATTCATTTCCCGTGATGGAGGACAAACCTACGTTGGCCTGGCAAAGGGCTCAGAAGAATCACATTGATGAATGAGATTTTGAATTCATGTAACTTTAACCTCCTGTTATGCCCCAGTTTGTTAAAGGAGTTTGTGTTAGAATATAAATTGAGAACTATTTCCTTTGAGAAGTACTTGGTATGGGAAAAAATGACTGCTGAACTAAATGGTTTACTTGGTTTGATTTATATTGATGTAAGTCCTTTTAAGATGGACAGCCAGTTGGTGTACTGTACGTTGAGTAACAGTGATATTGAGAGCACATGAATAATGAGTGTATTTAACACTTCCAGGAGATTATCTTGTATTTCCACATTTGGCATATCTGTTACCAGGATGCTGCTTTAGACTGGCATAATGTAGGGGTTTAAAACATTTTTTTTTTAAATTTATTATTTATTTTTGGCTGCATTGGGTCTTTGTTGCTGTGTGCGGGCTTTCTCTAGTTGCGGTGAGCGGAGGCTACTCTTGGTTGTGGTGTGCGGACTTCTCATTGCGGTGGGTTCTCTTGTTGTGGAGCATGGGCTCTAGGTGCTCCGGCTTCAGTAGTTGTGGCACGTGGGCTCAGTAGTTATGGCTCGCAGGCTCTAGAGCGCAGGCTCAGTAGTTGTGGCGCATGGGCTTAGCTGCTCCATGGCATGTGGGATCTTCCTGGACCAGGGCTCGAACCCGTGTCCCCTGCATTGGCAAGCGTATTCTTAACCACTGCGCCACCAGGGAAGTCCCCAATATTCTTTTATGTATGACTTACACTTAGCATAATTTGATATCAGTTGTCATTAAGCAAACCTAAGGTATGAGTGGGATTTACTACTCTGCTCAAAATGGTATTTATTCATTCTTAAATGGGTGTGTGATGTGACTTACGCGTTCTTAACTAACTTGTAGGCAGAAAAAAACAGGGCTGCAGCAATGGCAAACAATCTACAAAAGGGAAGTGCTGGACCTATGAGGCTCTATGTGGGCTCGTTACACTTTAACATAACTGAAGATATGCTTCGGGGGATCTTTGAGCCTTTTGGAAGGGTAAGTCCCAAGTGTATTAGTGGATCCCAAATCTTGAAACAAATGTAACTGCACAATAATTTATTTGCTTTGTCATGTTTCTAAGAGATTAATGTTAGGATTGGAGTGGTTCTATAAAGTTTTTGAGACAACTTAGATCAAGATAGTTTCCCTGAAGATAGCATTTGAAGACAGAATCTGTCAACATTTGTAATGCTACAGTGAAATGCATAGTATTAGCTTCAATTATTAAAAAATCGACCTGAATGATAAAATGTACTGTGCATTGGAGCAAGAGATTTTTTTTTTCTTGGTTTGTTTCTTAGGATAGTTTTTCTTACTGAAAATTTAAGGGTATATAAGCTTCTCTGTACTTAATATGTAAGGAATTAGAATTAGGCTGTTTATGCCCATTTAGTCCTCATATTTGTTTTTTTTTTTTTAAAGAACTCAGCTTTTTATTGAACGTGCTAGCTACTAAAGAGGTTTAGTCAAAAAGACCAAAGTTCATGTCATCATCAGACTCTTCAGATTTCTTTTTCTTTGCTTCCACTTTTCTTCTCAGCTGGGGCAGCAGTAGTGGAGGGGGCAGGACCTCCTGCTGGTATAGCACCAGCTGCTGGGGCAGGTCCACGTGCCCCCACATTGCAGATGAGGCTCCCGAGGTTGACATTGGCCAAAGCCTTTGCAAACAAGCCTGGCCAGAAAGGTTCAACATTTACACCGGCTGCTTTAATGAGGGCATTGATCTTATCCTCCGTGACTGTCACCTCATCCTCGTGTAGGATGAGGGCGGAGTAGATGCAGGCGAGCTCCAGGACGAGCTCCAGGACGGTGCGGGCGAGGGCGAGGCAGGGTCTGCCGGGCGCGGTGCTAGTTGCCGGATGAAGTGAGGGCCTCACCCCAACGCGGCCTTAGCTTCCTCGGAAGGACCGAGCACCTTAGCGGAAGCTGAGGAAAAGGTTTTTTTTTTTTTTTTGAGATAAAATTGACACGGCGTTGTCTAAGCTTAAGGTGTACAGCATAGTGGTTAAACTTACATGCATCATGAAATTATTACAGTAGGTTTAGTGAACATCTGTCATCTCATACAGATACAACATTAAAGAAATAGGTAACAAATTATTTTCCTTTGTGACAAGAACGTTTAGGATTTACTCTTGAGTCTTAATTTATGGTATACAGCAGTGTAATAATACATTACATCCCTAGTACTGATTTATAACTGGAAGTTTGTACCTTTAGACTACTTTCATCTAACTCTTCCCTCCGCCCTCCACCCCCCACCCCCCACCTCTCTGGTAGCCACAAATCTGATCGTTTTTTCCATGAGGCTGTTTTTGAAGTACAGTTGAATTGCAACACTAACAGTTCTTGGTACACAACATAGTAATTTGATATTTTTATGCATTTCTTTCAAAAGAATCACCAGGGTAAGTCTAATTCTCACTTTAGAAGAGATGGTTAGAATAAATGTTACTAGTAGGCTGTGCTCTGGTTTAAAAAATTCATTGTGTGGCCATGAATAAAAATCTTGGTTCCTGTCGTACCTTGTCCACTACTTAATCTTTATGGCCCTTGGATATACATTTCGTTGTTTTCTTTCACTACCCCACTCAACCCCTTTGTTAAACTGTTTTATGTGTCAGTAATGATAAAGTTGGGGTGTTGAATTTTGTGGGTGATTTATATTTATTGGAAATATACACATATTAATGGTGCACAAATCATAATTGTATGAGTTGGTTAGTCATTACAAAATGAATACGTTCCTGAAACAACCAGAACATGAAATATAATATGTGGGTGCTGTATTTTAATTGTTCATGCTTCCTTTGTATGACCGAGTTTGTTGGGATATTGTGATGTAGTAAATACAGTTCCGTCAGTTAAGGTGAACAATCATTGCTTTGTAGCATATTCACAGTGTTGTGCAACCATCAACCACATCCCATTGTTATTTTTAGTTATTCCAACATTTCAGGCAATTTATTGTGTCTGGCATAATTGAGAATTAACATTTGGTGTATTTTAGCAAAGGGGAAGAAAAAAGGTTGATTTCTTTTTTAACATTGTATTCTGCAAAGGATTTCAGATTTTTACTGGGTTTTGATGCAAAAGACTCCCCAGTGCATAACTTCGTGTTTAGGAAGTTCCTCGGCCTCTAGAAAGAAGATTTTTTGTGTATGAGGGATTGTGATATGTTTTCTATTATATTTTAGGGGGAGCCATTATAAAATCATGTTTCAAGGGGTAAAATACTTTTGCCCACCCTGTTTCATTTATATATAATAATTGTGGTTTTCATTTTTAGATTGAAAGTATCCAGCTCATGATGGATAGTGAAACAGGTCGATCCAAGGGGTACGGATTTATTACGGTAAGCAGTTAACCATGATTAACATGACTTAAAAGTTTTTGATTTGAATAGCGTAGTGTAAAGCTTTATTGGTTATTGATAGTGGGGAAGGAGGTACGGTTAATATTTTCAAGTGGTTTAACTTATTTTGCTGTTAGTAGCCAATTCTTAGTAGCTAAAGGTGTCCACCAAATGTCAAACTTAAAGCATTTTGCTATCATTCTGTTTATGGTCAGTTTGATTAGCCAACTGTTCATGTAATTGAAGTCATTCACTCCTTTAGGACTTCTTCAGTCTCTTTTGTGACACAAGATGTTAGTTGCACAAAGGTCTCTTGGAATTCTCTTACTTTTTATATGGACACATCGGACAACTATGACCAGGATTGCCTTATTAAAAGTGTAGCTGACAATTGAAGCCCAGTGCTTGAAATAGGGTATGAAGTGGCAGCTTGGAATAATTGTGAATGGAGGTGCCCTTTTAAAAGTAAACTCTTTATATATTAATGTTCATGATGCAATCCAATTACATGAGAACAGTTTTTCAAATTATTTTTTAACCTTGGAAAGTGCTGGAAACACATTTTTAGTTTAAAATACAGATGTCACCACTGCTGCCATTATACACAAAAAATTTTAAAAAGGTTTTTTTTTTTTTTTTGAGATAAAATTGACACGGCGTTGTCTAAGCTTAAGGTGTACAGCATAGTGGTTAAACTTACATGCATCATGAAATTATTACAGTAGGTTTAGTGAACATCTGTCATCTCATACAGATACAACATTAAAGAAATAGGTAACAAATTATTTTCCTTTGTGACAAGAACGTTTAGGATTTACTCTTGAGTCTTAATTTATGGTATACAGCAGTGTAATAATACATTACATCCCTAGTACTGATTTATAACTGGAAGTTTGTACCTTTAGACTACTTTCATCTAACTCTTCCCTCCGCCCTCCACCCCCCACCCCCCACCTCTCTGGTAGCCACAAATCTGATCGTTTTTTCCATGAGGCTGTTTTTGAAGTACAGTTGAATTGCAACACTAACAGTTCTTGGTACACAACATAGTAATTTGATATTTTTATGCATTTCTTTCAAAAGAATCACCAGGGTAAGTCTAATTCTCACTTTAGAAGAGATGGTTAGAATAAATGTTACTAGTAGGCTGTGCTCTGGTTTAAAAAATTCATTGTGTGGCCATGAATAAAAATCTTGGTTCCTGTCGTACCTTGTCCACTACTTAATCTTTATGGCCCTTGGATATACATTTCGTTGTTTTCTTTCACTACCCCACTCAACCCCTTTGTTAAACTGTTTTATGTGTCAGTAATGATAAAGTTGGGGTGTTGAATTTTGTGGGTGATTTATATTTATTGGAAATATACACATATTAATGGTGCACAAATCATAATTGTATGAGTTGGTTAGTCATTACAAAATGAATACGTTCCTGAAACAACCAGAACATGAAATATAATATGTGGGTGCTGTATTTTAATTGTTCATGCTTCCTTTGTATGACCGAGTTTGTTGGGATATTGTGATGTAGTAAATACAGTTCCGTCAGTTAAGGTGAACAATCATTGCTTTGTAGCATATTCACAGTGTTGTGCAACCATCAACCACATCCCATTGTTATTTTTAGTTATTCCAACATTTCAGGCAATTTATTGTGTCTGGCATAATTGAGAATTAACATTTGGTGTATTTTAGCAAAGGGGAAGAAAAAAGGTTGATTTCTTTTTTAACATTGTATTCTGCAAAGGATTTCAGATTTTTACTGGGTTTTGATGCAAAAGACTCCCCAGTGCATAACTTCGTGTTTAGGAAGTTCCTCGGCCTCTAGAAAGAAGATTTTTTGTGTATGAGGGATTGTGATATGTTTTCTATTATATTTTAGGGGGAGCCATTATAAAATCATGTTTCAAGGGGTAAAATACTTTTGCCCACCCTGTTTCATTTATATATAATAATTGTGGTTTTCATTTTTAGATTGAAAGTATCCAGCTCATGATGGATAGTGAAACAGGTCGATCCAAGGGGTACGGATTTATTACGGTAAGCAGTTAACCATGATTAACATGACTTAAAAGTTTTTGATTTGAATAGCGTAGTGTAAAGCTTTATTGGTTATTGATAGTGGGGAAGGAGGTACGGTTAATATTTTCAAGTGGTTTAACTTATTTTGCTGTTAGTAGCCAATTCTTAGTAGCTAAAGGTGTCCACCAAATGTCAAACTTAAAGCATTTTGCTATCATTCTGTTTATGGTCAGTTTGATTAGCCAACTGTTCATGTAATTGAAGTCATTCACTCCTTTAGGACTTCTTCAGTCTCTTTTGTGACACAAGATGTTAGTTGCACAAAGGTCTCTTGGAATTCTCTTACTTTTTATATGGACACATCGGACAACTATGACCAGGATTGCCTTATTAAAAGTGTAGCTGACAATTGAAGCCCAGTGCTTGAAATAGGGTATGAAGTGGCAGCTTGGAATAATTGTGAATGGAGGTGCCCTTTTAAAAGTAAACTCTTTATATATTAATGTTCATGATGCAATCCAATTACATGAGAACAGTTTTTCAAATTATTTTTTAACCTTGGAAAGTGCTGGAAACACATTTTTAGTTTAAAATACAGATGTCACCACTGCTGCCATTATACACAAAAAATTTTAAAAATACAGAGATCCCAGATTTTATCAAGAAATTATCATTGTGTCTTATAACCAAATTTAAATAAAATTGAAACCTATTGTTTAGTGATAATACGTTCCACCGTTCAGTGGAATTTTATCTACCTCAGTGTGTGTTGGTGAAAAGAAAAAAGTTATAAAACACCAACATGCTAATTTGTTACTAGTAACATTAGCATGATCTCCCCCTCCCCCCAAAAAAAGGTGTTCAAGGGATTTTACATGCAACTTAAAAATATTTCCTCCTACTACTATCTAAAGTATTTAGTGTTCTATATGCTAGATTTAGTGTTTGAATATTTGTTCACTGGCCATATTTTCACTAGAACACTACTAAATGTCATGTAAACAATGAAGACATTTTGCAAAGCATTTTAATTTTTTAACAAAAATCAAGTATGAACTATTTCCTATGACTTACTGATCTGTATGCAAAGGTAGATTATGTAGGGTGGTCCAGTGGCTAAGACTCCGAGCTCCCAATGCAGGGGCCCCAGGGTTTGATCCCTGGTCAGGGAACTAGATCCCTATGTGCCACAACTAAGAGTTCGCATACTACAACGAAGCTCTTGCATGTGGCAACGAAGATCCCGCCTACCACAACTAAGGCTTGGTACAGTCAAATAAATAAATAATTTTTTTAAAGCAAGATTATGTAAATCTACATGGTTCTGTTGTGTGTGTAAATGTTTTTATAGTTTGTAACTTCTATCTGTAATTGTTCCCATCTCAGTAATGGAAAAAAATTATTTTTAAACAATTCAACATTCTGATGAAAGATGAAGCTGTGGAATTAGAATATAGCCCGTTCTTCCATTATATTAAAACCAGGTTGTGTGAATTAAAGTTTTATTGTGTCTGCATCCTGAAATTAAGACTTAACTGGCAATAAAAGTGACCCAGAATTTTGTATTAAAAATTAAGTTTTGTATTAAAAACCTGAGTTGAACTTTTAATTTTCCTGAATAGTGTACTTTTAAGAGAGAAAAGAAGCAACATTTTAATTTATTCCAGCGTATTAAAAAGGGTTTTGACGTTTGAAAAACTACTTTTCACATTTTGTTACTGAGATTCTTTATTCCCAAAGACAGGTGTCATTACTTGATAATGTCTTGCCCTTTAAACCACCACATTAATAAATTTAATATGCGTAAACTTTGGTGGTCTGATAATTTAGGTTATATTACTTATAGCTTGAACTTGTTACTTTATCATCCTTGCAGATGTAATTATTGAATATACTAGCTTTAATAAGTAAGGGTTTCTTTACCTTGCATATGTAAGTAATTGCTGGACTTTTTATCCCCCTCTCAATTGTATAGTTTTCTGATTCAGAATGTGCCAAGAAAGCGTTGGAACAACTTAATGGATTTGAGCTAGCAGGAAGGCCAATGAAAGTTGGTCATGTTACTGAACGTACTGATGCTTCCAGTGCTAGCTCATTTTTGGACAGTGATGAACTGGAAAGGACTGGAATTGACTTGGGAACAACTGGTCGTCTCCAGTTAATGGCTAGACTTGCAGAGGGTAAGTTTATCCTAGTGTTGTGAATGATTTGTTGATACCGTAATGAGAAAGGTAACCATGCAGACAAATAAATGGAAAATTATTTTCTCTTATTTTGGGGTTGACTTATCCTTGGGCAGCACATGTGGTTTCATAGGTGAAATTCATTGCCTTAATTATAATGGAATCTACTTTATGATGGTGCTTTTTGAGTACCACAGCATATGTTACAGGATTTCTTTTGCTTTCTATAATAATTATATTCTCATACTTCAGAATAAATTTAGTTGCAGTGCTTAATACTAATAAATTTAGTTGCAGTGCCTGTACAGTTGGCCTCCCATATCTGTGAGTTCTGCATCTGAGTACGGAAGGCAGACTGTATCACGCCACTTTATATGAGGGACTTGAGCATTTGTGGATTTTGATATCCGAGGAGATCCTGGAAAGAATCTCACCTGCCCTGCTACCAAAGACCACTGTAATTTGTTTTAATGAAGTGACTTTGGTATTAAGCAACCAGAAAACTAGGATTTTCCCACTCTTAAAGCAGGGACGTTAAGACCTATTCTTTTACAGGTACAGGCTTGCAGATCCCACCAGCAGCACAGCAGGCTTTGCAAATGAGTGGCTCTCTGGCATTTGGTGCTGTGGCAGGTAGGAATTGAATCTTTTCTATTTGAAATCATTGTTTTTTCACCTAATTCGAAAATTTGCCAAATTTTTGCATTTAAAAGGACTTACTGAGAATTCAATTCATCAAGTACTTTTAACTTACAGATTTCAAGAGTTCATGTAAGGAAGTGGTGATACAGGACATAATTATCCACTCATAATAAACTGTCAGGGTATTTTTGAACCCTGCATACCAATTTTTAGTTGAAATTGCTGTTGTATTTTGGGTTTGTTTTGATTGATTGAGTTTTTGGCTGCATCAGGTCTTAGTTGCAACATACGGGATCTTTTTTTGCAGCACGTGGGCTCCTCTCTAGTTGCGGCATGCGGGTTTTCTCTCTAGTTGTGTGCAGGTGTCAGGATGTGTGGGCTCTGTAGCTTGCAGCATGCGAGCTCAGTAGTTGAGGCGCGTGGGCTTAGTTGCCACGTGGCATGTGGGATCTTAGTTCCCTGACTAGGGATCTAACCCGTGTCCCCTGCACTATAAGGTGGATTCTTTTATCATTGGACCACCAGGGAAGTCCCTGTAAGTTGTTAAATCTTTTTAAATGTGTCACTTTTATTGAAGACCAAAAAGTTTATATTGTTTCAAAGGAAAAATAGTTTTTGTGATGTTTTTGTTTGGAAAGCTACCAGAGGCCTTTGAATCAAGCTTTATTTAAAATAATTAGTGTTAAGAGTGCAGAGAATACTGCTTTCCTAATTAGAAAGAACATACTACAGTTGATCTTTGAACAACATGCGTTTGAACTGCAAGGGTTTACTTACACATGGATTTTTTTCAGTTGTAAATACCACACGATTCATGGTTCGTTAAATCCATGAATTTGGAAGGACTAAGGATATGGAGGGTCTACTATAAGTTACATATGGGTTTTCAACTGCTCAGATGGTTGGTGTCCCTGATCCCCAAGTTGTTCAAAGGTCAACTGTATTTTGAGATTTTGAGTTATAGAATAAAAGTGCCTGGAGAGGTGAGGAAAAGAGGGAGAGAATTGATAGTTTCTTACAATTATGTAACAGTGGGTTAATGAATCACATTGTTTTCTTCTCTTTTGTGGTTCAAGTACTTGAAATTAACCCAAATCTGTGAGCTAGGATAGTATTAAATTTTGAGATGTTCAATCCTTGCTTTTAGACTATCTGAGAAGAACCGTTTGTAGTATGTACTTTAGATGACAAGAACCACTAATCCAAGAAAGTATGACAAAAGTTCTGTGTGGTTGCTTCATGATTTCCTTTTCAATTGAAAAGCCATTAATTAACAGAGGATCGTTTCTGCATCTGCATTATTCTTTATAGGGGGCGCTTCTATGTTTTCCTTTCTTTAGTGAATATTCGAAAGTTTGTGAGTACTTTAGAGTCTTGTGCTTCCTTTCAAACTGATATATTTTGAAATCTGATAGGTAGTTCTTTAAAATTACTGACAATCATGTTAGTGTATTCATATGAGAAGAACAGTTATAACTATTAATGCATTTCTGTATTTACGAATAAATTATTGTTTTGATTTAAACAAGTATGAGACATTTAATTTCTTTGCAGTGAACACGTAGTCATAGAATGTCACGTACTGTAATTGAAGATACTAAAGGAAACCCATCACTTCAGAAATATATCCTAGTCTCTGGTTTGACAGTTACTATTTTACCTGAAAACTGTATCCGTGTATTGCTTCCCATTGTTCAGGTCATTCTTTCAATAATTTAGAAAAATGCTAGAGTGTTTACCATATTCTAGGTATTTCACTAGAGGCTGGTGCCTTTAGGGATTTAATACAAATACATATGATTCATTTCTAAACAATCTTCTATTATATCCTGGCTGCTGTATCAAATATGTTGATTTGGTTTGTAAACAATATCTTCGCCTAATTATAGTTTTTCAGTGTTAGACATTATTACTTCCCTAAACCATTATTTATTTCTCTTACGATGAATGAAGAATGACTATACTTCCCTGGGCACACTTAAGTGGGTAGTTTATATTAAGGCTGAAAATTCTAAATGTCCATGGATTGCTTAAAATAGCCATTTAGCTAACTATTTGTTATATTCCCCCCTTTTAGTGTTGATAGATGATTTTAAAGTTTGGTTCTGTTTTCTTAAAACTTCCAGTAAATTGCTATTACTACTGAATTAATAATCAGCACTCTATTTTAAGGTAAATATTTACATAACTGGGTATTTTTCTCCTGTCATTAAAACCTTACACATTCCTTGTTAAAATAAGAGAAATCGCTGAGTGTTGATGTCAATATTTGAGGCCCTTGTTGCCGAAGTTCTTAAAAGTTGTTTTTTGAAACCAAGAGTGGCCTATCACTATATCCACATGTCTTTATTCTGGAAGTTTAACGGGTCTTTTCTAAGATAAGTTATTTCTTATCTGTATGAAACCCATGCCTTGCTTCCTAACTTGTTAAAAATGACCTGAAGAACCATTTTTGAAATTTTGATTTATATACACTTAATATAGCATGGATTTCTGATACCTATACATTTTTTCCCATTTTAGGGAAAAAAAGACAAATTGCTTTATAATTTAAAGTTTATTGACAATGTTCCTATGGTCATATCTTCAAGTTCCTTCAGTATACACCAGTTACATTTCTTCAACTCCCTGGGATGCCAGTTTTGAGCACCTAGGACCCGGGTATTCTTACATCCCCATGTGACTTGGGCTGCAGATCCCTTTTCATTTTTGCCTATGTTTTCTGATCATTTTGTATACTCAACAAGAAGCCCAAATGGTAATAAAGTATTGCAGTTGAATCACGTGTTATTGAAAGGTTACTGAATTCAAACAATTTCTATGTTGTATATATCTATAATTTTTAAACTTCAAGATACCTTTGGATACTGTGACATTTTCTTTACTTTCCACACTTGCTGCTGCTTTCACTTGATGGCAGCTTTCTCTTAATTGGCCTTCTCATGTAGAATTTTAATAATTATATGAGAAAATATATTGGTAGAAATCACCATTCTGTTTATTTTTAATACAGACTAGATGGTTAGATTTTTCTTGCACTACATATAGTAAATCTGATTAGATTTCATTCCTGCCTCATTAAATTTCCAGAATAGGCCAGGAAATCAGACCTAATAAAACTACCACCTTCTGGGCTGGACATGACAACTTAAAAGAACTTAAATAATATATACATATCGTTAGAATGGGGTTTTTCACTACTTAATCGGTAGATTATTGAAAGTGTTGGACGTGTACTGTTGCAGTATTTACTCTTTCACCATAACTTCTAAAGTTTAAAATGCTTACTGACACTGATAGAACAATAAATAGTTGAATATCCCAAGTACTTGGAATTGAATTCTCAAGATCAGGGTTTTCATGCATTTTTCTGACCGGTGTGCTTCCCTTTCCCCATTTCCCATTATTCCCATGTGAAGAGTAGTATAGTGGAATGCCTTTGAGATGTGGAAGAGTTCTAGGAATAGGAATAGAGAGGCATAAGTTTCCTAGGATAGGAGGAAAGAAAAAGGCCCCACAGCCTTGTCAATGAGGAATGGGGAAGGAGGTTTGGCTGCCAGGTTTTACTATAAGTTCATTTTGATAAACCCTGCTACCATAGTCCTCTTTTATTAATGCTCTCCTGACATTTACCCTGTTAGTTGAGGCTCTTCATTGTTCCTGCACTGAGCTGTAGAATTCTCTTTTGTTATAGATTTGCAAACAAGACTTTCCCAACAGACTGAAGGTGAGTTGAGTTTTTTATTTGTTTTTGAAGTGGATGTTAATATAGCAGGACATAGTTGTGTATATATATTTTATCATAATTATTACTGTAGTTTGTATTTTGGGCCCAGTTTTGTCAGAATGACATACAGTGTCATTGACAGTAAGCCAGAAGGCCCAATCCAAGTCATTACAATTACATGAATAAAGATGATAAATGTCCATGCTTTTTTTGCTGTAGCTTGCTTAGAATTATTTTCAACTTTGTATGCCTATCTTTGTGTTCTGATTGTACATTTTATATAGATGTAAGAAAATGAAACTTGTCATTTTGGTAGACAAATCTTTTAGAACATGGAGTCTGTGAACTTAATGTAAGGTTAGGAAAAAACTAACTCCAGTGATTTGTGTCAGCAGTACCAAGCAATGAGATTATCCAGAACTAAATTGCATGCAGATTTCAGAGATTGTGAAACAATTTATAAAATGGGCTATTGTTTTCTTAGTTTAAAATTATCAAGTAAATCTCTGCCACTTAATATAGCATTTTGTTGCGGTAATTTGGTATCTTACAGGATATACTTAAAGTCATTTAGGTAAATGATTCTGTATGAAAAAGGTCTTTTCTTGTTCCTTGATAGTCAGGAATTAAATGTGTATCTTAATTTTTTCAGCAAAAGAGACAATTGTACTCAATCTTTTTCTTTTCCTAACAGATTTTTAAAAGTAGAACTGGTGGATTTTCCTCTTAGTTATATTTCTATGCTGAATTCATTGTGTTCTGCATTCATCTAGGTTGAGCTGGAATATTTCCATGATACATTTTCTAATATTTTTCAGTATTCATAGCATACAGTGACCTTCTAGTGTTTTTTTCCAAGCATACTTCCTTCCATTTGTTTATGATAAAGGTACACAGTGGGCTTCGTTTTTTTATTGTAATATAAGCACACTTGCATCTTTAACTTTCTTCAATAGAATTTGATGTTAGTTATCTTAGCATTTTTATTTTCATACAAAGTTTTATGAAAGACAAATACTTGTTTATTGAAGTAAACTATAAAGAAGCAAAAAACACTTGTTATTCTATCAGAAACTATCTTTTTTATGATGTATTTCATGCACAGCCCTAGTTTTTATTCAGTGGAATGTTTCTTAACTTACTCAGGTTATTGTTCATTTTAATTACCATAATTTCTAATGCACTGTTTTATCCATAGCTTTGTTTATTATTGTTATGTATTGGAATGAAATTTGGTCAAATATTATGATTACGGTGAGTTCTGTAACAGCTACTGGTAATGTTTTCTAAGTCATGTAAAAGCAGTGGAGCAACTGTCTTGGAAAATGCACTTCAAACTTAAAACCAACATTGATTTAAATTTGCCTAAGTATTAGTGTCCAGTAGTTTTTTATTTTTAACAATGACTATTAATAGATACATATTACTCTTTAGTGTTTTCTCCTGCTAGAACAGACCTAATCATTTTTAAAATATTAATTTGATGTTGTAGTAGGTTTTATAGTCCTAAGATGTTAAATCTTAAATACTTGGATGGTTTTATATATATTATTTTTAAAACTTCATCCTTTTATAATGTTTATATATTTAAAAGAAAATAACTATATATTCATGGGCAGAAACATAAGAAATAAAACATGGTATAGATTTAGTTGGCATTTTAATATTGTATTTGCATCATCCCCTGCTTCTTGGTATTAACTCCAGCAGTCCTACGAAATCAGTCTTGTTTTTATTTTCTTGTTTGTATTATTGATATTTGTCTAATTGAATGAATTTTCACTACACTTAGGGTTTAACTTCCCTTCTAAAAACAAAAGTCCCAACTTAGGATCAGCTATCTCAAATACTAAGTTGCCTTAGCTTTCTGGCAGCTAAAATGGGGTATTGTTATATACACTGATATTTGATAGCATTATTGAATATGGTGAATTAGTGAAGTGACTGACTACCCTAGTTTCACCCTGTGGGTCCAGTGGTTATATTGGGCTTTGTTTTATTCATAGGGATATTCTGATGCATTTTCCATGAAACTGATTTCTCCCTTTTTTTTTTTTTTTTTTTTTAGCTTCAGCATTAGCTGCAGCTGCCTCTGTTCAACCTCTTGCAACACAGTGTTTCCAACTCTCTAACATGTTTAACCCTCAAACGTAAGTAGTATACTTTGGTCAAGTTCAAAAGGGTATGCTGTGAAATCTTTAATGTTTAACTTGTCTAAGTTAACATTTAGCATGTTTTCAACATATTTCATAGTTCAAACACTGCCACAATTTTGATTCTTTTAGTATACTTATTTTTCTGCACATTATGAATTGTTTCCCTTGAATGTGTTTGTAAGATTGGAATTCATTTGAAAGCTTTGTAGATTTTATGTTTTCCATTTATATCTAGTAGTTTTCTGTGAAGTATCAGTATTTATTTGTATCACCAGTATACTCTTTTCCTAGTCCTATGAAATGGTGATAAACTTGGATAAGTATCTTTGAAAGATGTCAATTAACCACTTAAATGTTAAATAAATGATTTTTAAAATAACACACTTAAGATTTTTTAGACAGATTGGAATATATGTGTATCATTTTATAAGTTTGAGTAGTGTCTCATAGATTTAATACTTTATTACAGAGAAGAAGAAGTTGGATGGGATACAGAGATTAAAGATGATGTGATTGAAGAATGTAATAAACATGGAGGAGTTATTCATATTTATGTTGACAAAAATTCAGCTCAGGTATTTTGTTACTTTCTTGTGTCTTAATTTTCACACACTTGGGGCATATTATGATCACTGTTTTTCCTTAGAGTGTGTTGGGGTTTTTTGTTTTCCTGAGAGAAGCTTTAGCATACTGACTAAATACACCCCCTACAAAATAAAGATACTTTTAAAATAGTTCAGGTCATCATGTAGCATTATTGTTGCTGGTTAGTGTTCAAAGGTTGCCATGAAATTCTGGCACCTTGATTTCATTCTTCAGCAGCTTTCACATCATAGAAGATAGTAACAAGGCCAGTTTTGGGGATGATGAAGTATTTTCAATAAATTTCTAGGTTACATATATTAGCTAGTGGAACAATTGAGCAGTTTTTCTATAGGTAACTTGAGTAAACCTATTGGAATCCATGTTGTATATCACACCTTAACCTTTTTTGTTGTATTTTAGGGCAATGTGTATGTGAAGTGCCCATCAATTGCTGCAGCCATTGCTGCTGTCAATGCATTGCATGGCAGGTGGTTTGCTGGTGAGTTTGACCTTTTTTCTGAGTGATTGTTTTTAATGGTCTAATCTAAGTGAAGAAGCTAAACGACCATATGTGTTTCTTTCAACAGGTAAAATGATAACAGCAGCGTATGTACCTCTTCCAACTTACCACAACCTCTTTCCTGATTCCATGACAGCAACACAACTACTGGTTCCAAGTAGACGATGAAGGAAAATATAGTCCCTTATGTACATAGGTTTTTTTCTTTCTTGAGAATTCATCTTGAGTTATCTTTTATTTAGATAAAAATAAAAAGGCAAGGGTCTGCTGTCATTTGTATACAGTTCCTGTTACCTTGAAAAAATAAAAATGTTAACAGGAATGCAGTGTGCTCATTCTCCCTAACTAGCAAATCCCACTGTATACAAAGCTGTTCTCTTGTTCTGCCTTTTAAATGTACATGTAGAAAATTACATTAAGGATCTATAGGAATAGCTCTAGGGGAACAAATGTGTTTAACATAAAAAGGCAGACAGGGATGTAATGATGTTTTTAATGTTTCAGAAGCCTAACTTTTTACACAGCAGTTACATTTCACTAATGTTGCTATTTGGTTAATCGTTTAGCAGAGGTTTCTGGAATACATAGTTTATGGAAATTCAAGACAGCTAAAAGGGCTGTTTGATTAACATCTCATCTTGCATTCTGATCAACTGGCAAGAAAAGGAGATTTCAAAATTACATTTCTGGATGGTATCTTTTCAATTAATGTATCTGTAAAAGTTTCTTTGTAAATATTATGTGTTCGGGTGTGTCTAAGATTCCAAACAAAATGATCCCTGCATTTCCTCAAGATGTTTAGTGACAGTCTGGTAAGCAAAGCAGTCTGAGCAAGAAATAGGAAATGCAGAAATAGGTTTTGTCTGGTTGCATATAATCTTTGCTCTTTTTAAGCTCTGTGAGCTCTGAAATATATTTTTGGGTTACTTCAGTGTGTTTGACAAGACAGCTTGATATTTCTATCAAACAAATGACTTTCATATTGCAACAATCTTTGTAAGAACCACTCAAATAAAATTCTCTTAAAAAGGCCACAAGAAATCTTCATTTTTGAAATGTTTTAAAGTCACAGAAACTTGGAAATAGAATATTAGTTTCTTTGACTTTTTAGTTGCCTCTTTGGGAAAATTCTTAGTGAAACTGTTGCCCTCAAGTTGTCCCTCTACATTCCTCTATCAGTCTCAGTACAGTACTACTTATTTAGGGTATTCTATCAAAACTGAGGAATTTACCAAAAAGAAAACCAAACTGATTTGACCAGGCCTCAAACCTGGGCATTCTTAAGTCTCTCCTACGTTTTCTGGACATCTTTGTGAGGAAAAAAAATGCCTTGTTATTTAAAAGCAAATACTGGAGAAAATGGTGTAAGTTCAAACTGGTTTCCCAAATTGATTTAACTGCATTTTTGAGCTTTATCTTTACTTGGGCAGCAACCCTTCATGATTTATACTCTGAACTCTGCTTCAAGTTTTTGTGTCTAGGTTGAATCTTTTGAGTAGGGGATGTTGCTGCTAATTGCTCCTTCCAATACTGATTTCCTCACCTGCCTGAACTTCTGTTACTACTGTATTGATTTGTTAGGGCTGAATCATAAGTATTACAGGTTTATTCAGATATCAAGATAACTCAGTTTGAATTTGGAGGCATCACAGTTTTCTACCAACCCTTTTGAGGGATGTTTGTAATTCCCTTACTTGCTTCAGTTATTTAACCTGAAGAAAAATTTCAAGATTCAACTTTATTTTTGAACACCAGGCAGCAGTGTTATTGGGTGGCAGAGACATACGTAATGCCAACTTTTTTCTTTCCAGATTATCTCCTAGTAATTAAAAATGTATTCTTGGATCAAGTTACTATCAGGTTGGTTCTGTCATTCCTTTCTAGGGAACTGGGCCAACAAAGGTGCCTTCAGATGTTATTTAATCTCATCTGTTAAGACGTGGCAAAAATTTGCCCACCACCAAAGAGTGAAATTTGGGTTGTAGGGCTTCCTTGGTGGTGCAGTGGTTACGAATCCGCCTGCCAGTGCAGGGGACAGGTTCGAGCCCTGGTCCGGGAAGATCCCACATGCTGCAGAGCAACTAAGCCCGTGCGCCACAACTACTGAAGCCTGTGCCCCTAGAGCCTGTGCTCCACCAGAGAAGATACGACAGTGAGAAGACCGTGCACCCCAAGGAAGAGTAGCCCTTGCTCACTGCAACTAGAGGAAGCCCGTGCATAGCAACGGAGGCCCAACACAGACAAAGCTAGATAAAAGAAATTTGGGTTGTAAATGATGTTCAAAGCAAATTTGTTAAAGAGTTCAGTCAGATAGAAGATAGCTGAAATGGCTATTCGGAGTGAGATCCTTTAATCAATTCCTAGGACAACATCCAATTTGGTTGTGAATTTTTTAGGTGCTGTAATTTCTGGGAGTGTCCTTGATTGCAGTTAGATCTGAGTGTCTTTATGCCCCCCAAATATTCCAGTGTAGTTTATTATAACATTACCATCTTCTTAATTGAGAAATATTTGAGGGAAACTCAGCAATATCAAGGAATATGTTGCTTGTACAGGTGAGGGAAACTACCTTAAGCCAATTAATAGGATGGGGGGGGGGCCAGTTGGTAAAGTTTACATCTTCACTGATGGCTGGTTAGAAAATTATCTGGGATTCATGAAGCTGAGAGGTTAGTTGGTTTGAATTTGTTCTTTTTCTGATCAAGTCATACCTGAAGGACAATTTTTGGGTGAACTATGTAATAGCTAACCTTGTGACCTTGAGGAAAATCTAGACTTAACAGTTTAAAGGTGAAAAACTAATAGCATCAACCTTAAAGGGTTGAATAATAAGGATTTAACTAGAATCTATGCAAAGTCCCAGGTACATAGAATCATTCTAAACTTTTTTTAAAAAGTACTTATTTGCGCTGGGTCTTCTGTTGTGGCATGTGGGATCTAGTTCCCTGAGCAGGGATCAAACCCGGGTCCCCTGCATTGGGAGCACCTAGTCTTAGCTACTGGACCACCAGGGAAGTCCCCCCAACTTTGGATTAGCAGAGAAAGGTCTTGTGAAACGACACCAAACCTCATGAGCTCACCTGCAAAGATCTCTAACCAGGCTGAGAGAAAAAATGCTTCTAACAGAAACTCAGAATACTCAGACTTGTTTTATTATAGTACATGGGCTGGGAATGATGGGAGGGGGTGGATGTTGTGGGCAACCACTGCCCTGATTAGCACCGGATGCCCATCCCAATGGCCATGAATGTGCCAAAGGTGCCGCCACTCTGCATCATGGTTTTCCCGATGCCGCCCATCAGCTCCCGACCCCGCATTCCGATCCTGAGAGGAGGAAACCAAGATGGGGCCAATTGGGAACAAAAATGCAGGGAGGAACATTAACTGCCCTTTTCCAATTTGTGTTTATAATGGGCACTGCTGAAGTCTGGCAGGATATTATCTCTTCCCATATGGGTTGTGTAATGCCAAGGAAAAGGGTCCATTAGGGTCTCTAGGTGGATTCTGATGAATATCAACTGACTTCTGTTTGTGGGAGGCAGCAGAAGCAGTATAAAGTACATGGACAGGGAAACCATTTTTTTGTGCTGGTTTATGATCCAATAAGACATCTGTCTTTTAGACGGTTTCCTAGTGTTAAAACAATGATACGGATGTCAGACCTGGGTTCAAGAACTAAGAATGCAATTTACAGGCTGTGTCAAGTGTAAAATGAGCACGGCATTCACGGCCATGTTGTGATAACGGCATTTAGCACCGTGACTGACAGTAAGTGCTCAGTAAATGATAATTTACAATGTGGAAAAATGGGAATAGTCTCTTTTATGTGTGAAAATGACAGGGTGTAGAGTTTATCTGCTTAATTTCTACATCCTGTTCCCAGTAAATTTAATCGTTTGTTTCAATATGCGCAATTGGAAATAAATATAACAGCAGGAAGACGGTAAGAATAGCCTTTTATTGAGCACTTAACACGTGCCAGATTGTGTGCTAAGTGTGGTCTGATTTGAGCCCTATAACTCTATATGATGTAGAGGTTACTGACCTCATTTTACACTTGAAACCCTGGCTCCAACTTGCCTAAGGTTACAAAATGAGTAAGGGGCCACTGAGTGGTTTGAGTCATAGCTCATATTCTCAACCATTTACGCTTCCAACCTGTCCTCCCAGACTGAAGGTGGTTAGGAAATCAGTCTCGCTCGTTAGAGGGCAGCGAGGGAATTGGAAAGAAGTAGGCTCTATCCCAGCGGCAAGCCGAGTGGTATGGGGCGGCAAAGTCCGGTAGTCCCGCCCAGAGATCATGGCCCATGCCCCTCACCTGAGACAGGAAAAGGTGCCGAAGAGCGCCCCGGCTGCCATGCCCACGGCGCAACCCATCACAAAGCCCATCTTCACGCGGTCGAAGCAGCTTGGCTGTGACTGTCCATAGGGGCCCACGGCCACCGGCATCTGCGGGGTTCGAAGGCTTGGGGAGTGTGGGCCTAGCCGCCAGCCCGAGTCGGGCAGGCGGCGTAGGAGGTGGGGCAGGGAGCGGGCCGGGGGGTTCGGGGAAATCCGGGAAGGAAAAGAAGGGTGTAGCCCGGCTCCATCACCCTCTGAGCGTTCGAGTCCCCGCGCCACGGTGCCCCCGCCTTACCTTGTTTGCGGCCTTGGTCGCTCAGCTCTACGTCTCACACGGAACGCGAGGCGGAGCGCACTCGCGGCCAGAGGAACCACTTCCGGGGGCGCGGAGTAGTACTTCCGGGGGCCTGTAGCTGGGGACAGCAGCCGCTTCGGGCGCAGGACTGCCACCGAGATCATGCTACTGAGAACCTCTTGGAGGCTGATGGCCGCGGCCGCCCCCGCCGCTCTGTGGCCGAGGGCGAAGGCACCCACTCGGGGGCTGCGCCTGCGCGGTACGCTCCGGGGCTCGCTCGCTGCCACTTCCCCGGAGGGGAGGATCTCTCCCCTGGGCGCGGGGGCGCACCTGCGTATTCAGGAGCTTCCCTCTTCCGCCCGCTACCCAGACCCTCTGACCCTTCCTCTTGGCCGCACCCCTCAAACTTTCTCATGCCGGCCCTCCGAACGGTTGACTTCGCCGCGCGCCCCCATCCCGCACTTCAGATCCTTCCCTGCAGGCCCTTAGAGCCCTTGATGCTCGGCCTTCGGACCTCTCCTGGCCAAATTTTAGAGATGCCAGTTGTCCAGCCAGTAACCTTTGAAGGAGATCTTACATACCGTCTCCACATTCCTTCTCAGTGGCTTTGCCCTTTCAGAGGTCTCCTCACTCCCAACGATGCAATTTGAATGTTGTCTCAGCACCCCCCTCCAAGAACCCTGTCTCTCTCCCTTACCTCTTTACAGTTGGCTCAAGTTTTCTGATGTTTTGTTTCCTTTTCCACTGAGATTCGACCTCAGCACCCCTTAAATTTATCTCACCTCCATCCAGCTTTTACCTTCTACTGTCTTGGATGCCCTGTGTGCAGAGTTGCATCCTCTCACGTGGCCACTCCGTTCTATTTTTTGTCAGTTGTAGACCATGCTCCCCAGTCTGCTGCTCCCTCAGATGCAGCCACTGCTCCGGAGGCGGAATCAGTGCTGCGACCTCTGTATATGGATGTGCAAGCTACAACTCCTCTGGTAAGGATCAAGGGGCAGCTTTCCCCAAGCTGTTTTTAGAAATTATATTGTAGAAGTGGCAATGCACAGAAATGGCTGAATCCCTGTAGAAGTAAGAGCCATTGAGAACTGTGTGTTGGGAAAAGCAATGAACCAGGAGTCAGGAGGCTTAAGTCCTCTAGAAATGGCTTTACTACTTACTAGCTATTGATCTTGGACACATCACTCAGTGTAGGCACTCTGGTAGTAGTTAAAAGCATAGGCTCTGGAATTAGCCGGATTGCTACTTACTACGTGAATTTGGGCAAGAATTAAACAGGTTAAAAGACATAAAGTAGCCCTTAGAACAGCGCCTGGTACATGATAAACACTTGAACATTAATGCACGTTTTCATCAACATGTGGACTCTGTCATGTCCTGGGCTCTTGTAGATCA